AACATAGGTCCCATGATTTCCCTTATTTGCAATAACTAGTATATATCTGAGTCAAGCAGAAAAGGTCAGATAAGTTTATGTTAGGGGAATGAACCTCAAGATAAGTATTCAAATGTTTTTTGTTTTTTTTCCTTTCATGCGATTTTTACTCTCATATTTATAAGATGATTTCTATGTTGCTTTGTATGTCCCTCTCCCACAGTATAACCCCTGCTTTCACTGTATTTGATGCTGGTATAATTTGTGGAGGGGAAGGGGAAAAAATCGTTTAACTAGGGATACAGTTGGACCCATTGCAACAATGAGATGTACAAGTAGTTAAGTCGAAAAATGAACTTAACAACTTTGGTGGGGGCTGGGAAAGATCCTGTGGGGGGAAGGGAGGACTATGGGAAGGGATGGGAAGGGGAAACAACGAGGAGGCAACAATGCTTGATAAGAAATGTACTCGTTATCTTGCTCATGTAATTGTAACTCCTCTGTACAGTAGTCTCACAACAAAAAAAAAGAAAGAAAAGAATTTAAAAATGAAAAAAATAAAAAATAATAGATGAACAGTTAAAAAATTTGTTGCCTATTCACAAAGGAATTGTACATAATCATTAGAAAAATAAAATTATGTCATTTGCCTGGAAATGGATGGACCTAGGACAAATCATGTTGTGTGGTATGCCAAGCACAGAGAGAGTAGTAGTGCATGTTTTCTTTCATGTGAGAAGTCTATACCTAAAATATAGGTCTCTAGGCATGTACACAAAGTGAGAATAAAGGAGATTATTCTTAAAAGAGGAACAGAAAGACACAATGCCTGTGTACTTATTTTTTACTTTAAACATATATTTTTATTGTAAAGATACTGTACAGAGGGATTACAGTTACATGAGCAATGAACTGAGCTCATTTCTTATCCAGCATTGTTACCCCCTTCTTTTTATCCCCCTACCATCCCTTTCCTCCCTACCTCCCAACTCCACCCAAACTCCCCCGAGCAAAGTTGTAAAGTTCATTTTCAACATAGTGTCTTGTACCCCTCGTTGTTACAATGAGTCATCCTGTATCCTTATTTCTGACCATATAAAATAACATTGATCAAAAGAAACTCAAAAAATGGAAATGAGATGTATTTTCTATATTACTGTTTTTGTTTTCTTGTCTTTTTTGTTCGTTAGTTTATATGTCTTAGGAGGATAAGGAGAGTTACAGAAATGTAGGCACAAAAGGTGAACAAATGCACCAATGGAACTCATGGACACTATGTTGAAAATGAACCATAAAACTCATGGATGTGCCTTTATGGAGAAAGCTTTGGAGAAACTAGGAACTCAAGGAACATTCCTCAATATAATAAAGGCTATATGGAACAAAACTACAGTCAGCATTATACTAAATGGTGAACAGTTAAATCTATTTCCTCTAAAGATTGTGACAAGTCGGTCTGCTCTCTCCACTCCTCTTCATAATAGAAGATTGGGAGGATTAACATTGTGAAAATGGCAATACTGCCAAGATCTATCTAAAATTCAATGCAATACCCATCAAAATCTCAACAACATTTTTCAATCAACAAGAAGAAGCAATTCAAAAATTTATGTGGAATAATAGAAAACCTGAATAGCTATAGCAATTCTTAGCGGAAGAACACTGCTGGAGGACTATCAATACCAAACTTCAAACTCTATGATAAAGCTGTACTTACAAAAACAGCTTGGTACTGGCACATGAACAGGCTTGTAGATCTAGAACAATGGAATAGAATTGAAGACCCTGAAAGGACCTCACAGATCCATGGCCACCTAATCTTTGGTAAGGTAGCCAAAAACAAAGGATGGAAGAATGACAGACTCTTCTGCAAATGGTGCTGTCAGAATTGGCTATACATGTGTAGAAACATGAAAACTGAATTTAAATCCTTATATATCACCCTGAACCAGAACCAACTCCAAATGGATCAAATCCCAGAACAACCAATTTGACCAGCTTCACAGTATATTTGTGTGAGTTTCATGCCACTTCACCTAGAGCAATGGTTTGTTACAGTCCTGTTTTTTCCATGTTTCACATGTTTTCCAATCTTCAGCTTAATTTACAAGAACTTCTTCTGTTCTTTGATCATACATACTCAAAATTTTCGGCCTATGATCTCCACTTTACATTGTCAAAATTTGTGTTAGGAAAGGGAGAATTTCATCCTCCTCTACTCTGCCTCTAACTCCTAATCCTCTTTCCAACTTATTCCCTCATCTTTCTTTCAAGGACAATATTCTGAGGAAGTTAAATTGGAAAGTTCTTTTAAAATTACATGATTGTATTATTTTTGTGAGTTGGGGGGCTTGAAAAACTTGGCCTGGGCACTGTCCCTATGCAGTTCAGCTCTTTAGCTCAAGGAAAGCACTCTACCATTTCCAGTTTTCTGTTTGATTGTAGATATGTCTCTTGGACTTTCCTGCCTGGACTGCCTTGGAACTGTGATCCTCAAATGTCAGCCTCCTGAATAGCTTGGATTACAGAACTGAGCCACCTGTGCCCAGCTCCGTGATAGTATTTTTCACTGTTTTAAGTGGGTCTTGAACTCAGGGACTAGATGTTGTTCCTCAGCAAGTACTCTACCTGAGCATCAGCTGCATTTCTACTGACTTTAATATAGTAGGTTTATCTATAAAATTCACAATTCTAACATGATTAGAAACAAGATAATATGAGTATATTAATTCAAATACTTCTAAAAGTCAACATCTATTCATGATACTTCAAAAACTATCAGTGTCTAAGGAAGACAGAAATAATACCAAAGTGGTTTTAAATATATGTAAAAAATAGGTGATAAATATCATAATAAGTGGTGAAATATTTTAACATTTTCCCCATAAGATTGTTTTAAATGTTGAAATATTTACTATCATATTCTCACATACAAAATTATACAGGATGTTCTCCTCCAAATTCTATAAAATAAGAGGTAAAAGAAGACATTAAATTTGAAGTGAAGAAGCCAGGTATTTTCTTTTGCTGATGAAATTTGAACAAATATATTAAAATGATTAAAGTACATCATAGGATATAATAGTAACTTGTAGAGTCTATGCAAACACAGTGAATAGAAAAATATCTCTTTTAGAGATATTTTAGAGAGTAAAGAAGACACAACCACTCAAAAGTATTTCCACAGTCATAAATTGGAGTACAACATCATTTTAAATTTTCTCTAGGTTGAAACATAGAATCAAAACAATGCAAAATTAAAATTCCCTAAAAGAATATTTAAAGTAGAGAATGTAAATCTAGAATTTCCATGGCAATTTAAGACACTCAGGATAGCCCAGAAAGTATTAAGCTCAGAAATCTGCCCTTATGTTTTCCAACTTTATTTTCATTTTTTTCATAGAGCATCATGGTTAAGTCTGTGTACATGCAGTAGGTGCAAGCAGAAAAAGAGTCAAGTTGACAGCTCAAACAGGAAATACACATCTTCTGGCTCATAGAATTGTAAGCCTTCTGTACAACTCCTTAATAATAACAATTAAAATGTCAGGATCCAAGTACTAGTGGTTTATTCCTATAATCCTAGCTAGTAATGAGGGTAATTGCTGAGGACTGATGTTGGAAGCCAGCTTGCATAGGAAAGTCTATGAGACAATTATATCCAATTAAGCACATAAAAATTCATAAGTGGAGCTGTGGATCAAGTGCTAGAATGCTAGCTTTTATCATAAGAAGCTCCAGGCAGAAGCAAGGCCTTTCCTTGGGTTCAAGGCCAAGGACCAGAACCAACATGAAAACAAACCAAAAGAAAAGGAGTAAAGAACTGGATCCACCAGTGTACAACCTGGTGATTTCTAATAAAAGAATGGAGTGGGGAATAGATTGGGGGTAATTATTGTTTTGCTGTGCTGTGCAGAATCTTCTAATCATTTACTTGTGGAAGCCATAAGTATTTCCTGTAGAGTTTTTGCTTGATGAGTCCTAATGAATATGGACAGTTAGAACAGACTACAATAGCATGTAGTAAAACCTACAATCAGATACTAGGGCAGAGGGAAGGAAGAGAGGAGCACCTGTCAAGAACTACAAGCAGTTGAGAGCATTGGTACTCACCCCTACGTTTCTACACAGGGAAAGGACCTAGGTAAGAAGGCCTGCAGATTCACAAGTAGAAAATGTGGGTCTGAGGGACACCAGAGAATACTCCATTTCTGTGTTTAGTTTCACTCAATAACATAAGCCAGTCTTGGAATGTCTATAAGATAATGATTTCTTATATTAAAAAAGAAACACTACTTGCTTGAATTAACTAACATGTCTCAATTTTACAAAAGTAAACCAAATAACACTCTAAAAGTTTCCTCCCTTGTTATGATTTGTGTGCTCTATTGACTCTGGAGAGGCATTGCCAAGTGTGTACTGCTGCAGACAGAGAGATAGAGTACAGGGAATTCTGCCGAAATGATTCTACCAAAATCTTCAAGTTACCTTCAGATTCTGGATGTATCTGAGAAGCTGTGTCATCAGGTGGAGGCACCAGGAAGGGCAGTTGGGACAGCCTAGCCTCTCAACTCTACTTCCCTGGGAGTTTAATGTTATAGATTGTATCACTGTGAGTGGGTAGCTACTATGCTGTTGACAGTAATAAGTGGGGAAATCTTCAGGTTGCAGGCTGCTTATGTTGAGAGTAAAGTGCCCGAGATCCACTGTCCTTAAATCTGGAAGGGAGCAGGATGGTAATTACTTTGCATACATGAGGAGCTTAGGAGCTTTCCCTGATTTCTGCTGAAACCAGTCTAAAGAAATGCTAAGGCCCTCACTGGCCCTGCAAGCCATGGAAACTCTGTCTCCCAAAGATGTAGACAGAGAGGATAGAGACTGGTCATTTGGATGTCACCTGGCAGTGGAAACATAGGACAAATACTCTCTTTGAAAATCATGTTACAAGAGGCCTTCCTTGCAGTACCAGAGATCGTCTGCTGTACTAGGCTGAGTAAATCCCAAGCATTGTTCTTTCTTACCTGGAAGAAAGAGCCGCAGGAGCCCCAGAAGCTGATCAGGGACCTTCATGTCCATGCTGGGTGCTGACTGGGACTGACTACTGCACAGAGTGTGAGCAGACTAAGAAGTGCTCAGTGCAGTGGGCTGTGCTCTCGGCACATGCAAATCAGTAGGGGCTGGATAGAGCTTGGCACATCTGCAGGATTGGCTCAACTCAGTGAATCCCCACAGGCCTTGCATGCACAGGTTTCCTAGAAGAGAAAAGAGGAACATGAATTTGCCTGCAGAGTATGTGGAGATGATTTGATGGGTAGAAGACCATTTTATGACTATTTTCAAAATTTATAATGCACAGAAGCAACAGATGTAATAGAGTATTTCATAAATATATTGAAACATTCTTGTATCTACTTAGATCTTTTATTCAATCTCAAGAATTCTTCCTGGAAAAAAAATCCCTATGTTTTCTTCATGAAGTTCTTATGCATTGAAACTTTTCTAACCTTCACTCCTTTCCTTTCCACCTTCCTTTCCTTTCTTTTCCTTTCCTTTCCTTTCCTTTTTTTAGTGGGGTTTGGACTCTGGGCCTGGGCACTGTCCCTCAGCTCTTCAGCTCAAGGCAAACACTCTAACACTTGAGCTACAAAGCCACTTTTGGATTGCCTGTGATTTATTGGAGATAAGAGTCTCAAGGACTTTCCTGCCCATGCTGACTTTGAACCACAATTCTCAGATCTCAGCCTCCTGAGTAGCTAGGATTGCAGATTTGAATCACTAGCGCATAGAAGGAAAAGAAATCTTAACCCAAGTAATGTATTTTCCTTTTTTTGTGTTGTAATATTGTTTTGCATCTGATTTGCTTTATCAAGAAATTATTTCAGTTGTTTGTTGCTGTGTAAGTTCATGAACAACTTGTGATGTTTCATACATTTTCCAGCTTCTGATATTTTCCTGCCAAAGAATTAATGAAGTTTGTTAGTTTTTTAAAAGTTCATATTCCCAGATTGGTAGAAACAACTTACAATCAAATTTAAGTGAGTTTTAAAGTTATCAGTTAGGTGGAATATTTCTGACAGATGGGGAAAAGTGACCATGGTTGACAGTTATGTCAATCCATCATTATGATCATTATAATTGTGTGTGGAAGCTCAAATTCTGTTCCTTCCCTTGTTTCCTGAAGAGTATATTGTAAGTTCATCCTTTGATGAGATTTAGTGAAATGGAGAGACTTGTATAATTCTTGACATAAACAGTCAGACATCTGATCAGAAGTGAGGCCTGGAGAATTCCTCTGGAGAGGCAGTTGGGTCAGGTAAGAGCCTCATCCACTCACCCTGGCTTTTTCCACAGAGTGGAGAATCACAGTATTATATGCTGAAAACCCTAGGACAGCCTCACTGAACCAGAGAATGCCACACTCCTCCTTCCAACTTCTCTGATAACCCAGAAGTTAAGAACCTAATGATTAGACTCATTTCCTGTATCAAAACAATTCCTTCTTAGAGATTCTTGTCTGTCTGCTTTACTGTGTGAATCAGAAAGGATGACGTTTTATGAGAAGAGACATGACCATGTTTGTGCTTCTAGGACAGAGGAGGAGAAAAAGGACAAATGTTCAGAGGAGCCTAGACATTTCAATGAAAAACCTCAAAAGTGTTCATAGCTGTGCTACATCTGAGAAGCTCTATCAGCATATGGAGGCACCAGAAGCAGTAGCTGAGCAGCTCAGACTCACACTTCTGCTTCCCTTGGAGGTTTTTGTTATGGCTTGTATCACTGTGGGAGGGTAACTACTATCCTGTTGACAGTAATAAGTGGCAAAATCCTCAGGCTGCAGGCTGCTGATGGTGAGAGTGAACTCTGTCCCAGATTGACTCCCACTGAACCTTGATGGAATTCCAGAAGCTAAGCTATTTGCATAATAGATTAGAAGTTTTGGAGCATTCTGTGGTTTCTGATGATACCAGTTTAAACCATTGCTAATGTCCTGACTGGCACGGCAAGTGAAGGAGACTCTGTCTCCTGGAGATGCAGACAGGAAGGATGGAGACTGGGTCATCTGGATGTCACATGTGGCACCTGCATTGGAAACATAAACACAAATATCCACACTGTTAGTCATGTCATAGGAGGCCTTCCCTGAAGACCCAGGCAGCACTGAACACAAGGATGGGAGGAGTGCTGTCCTTCCTTACCTGGGAGCCAGAGCAGCAGGAGCCCCAGGAGCTGAGCAGGGGTCCTCATGTCCATGCTGTGTGCTGACTTGGACTGACTGCTGCACAGGGTGTGAGCAGCCTATTATGAAGTCATTGTGGGCACTAGTCTGTGCTCTGAGCATATGCAAATCAGCAAAGCTGGGTAAAGCTGGGAATAGCTATAGGACCAGCTCAACTCAGGAAATCCTCATATTTCCACGGTGCCCACATATGTTAGTTTAGCCCAGACAATGTGCTTCACCCATACAGCAGAATCTGTGATGAGCCTACTGTCCTTTGAGTAAATCTATTGGTGCATTCAGGGATGATGACCATTTCTCTTGAGTTTTTCAAACTTTATGTTATGACACATGAATGTGAGAACAGTAAAGCAATAATTGAGTCTTTCATACTTAGAACATGCAGAGAAGTAAAGATATGGAAAGAACAGAATTTGTGGATATTTTTCTGGTTTATTATCTCTATGCGTTTAATATCTCATTGACATAGAAAGAGTTATATAAGATGTTATATTTTCAAACAATTCATACTTTAGTCTTTTCTAATACACACATATACACAAAGTAAAATGTTATTTTTCCCCAGAGCAAGTATAAAGACTGAGTCCAATTCTTCCTTACTGACTTTACTGCATAAAGGAAATTTTTACTACATAGGAAAAAATACAAAGCGAGAGAAAACAACTATATCAAGGGTTTTAGTCAGCATGTCCTGTAGTTAGATGGCTAGAGGGCTGAAGCAAAAGCATGTTGCTATCAGAAATGTCCAAAATTTCTTAAGTTTTTGTGATTGTACCACCAGGTACAATTTTTACTTGAACCTACAGTTTTATATTATCCAAGAACTACAGTACATTCATATATCCATTGCCCTCTGATCATTCCACATCAAATTCAGGGCAAAACACTTACTTTCAAATTCCCTAGTCCTCATGTATCTCTTTCTGCTTACATGTGTCCTAATTCCTGCTACTACCTGGAGAATGGAAAGGATCATCCATACTTATTACAACCAGCTGCTCAGGACTGGGCAACTTCAAGGGTGAAGAAAAGATAGCTGTTTTAAAGATTTAGTAGCTTTATGTCTCATTTTAAATATCACTTTTTTCTCAATTGATCTAGGTGTAAGGGTGGAAGGCACAGATATCTGGCTGAAATTCCTGAAGTGGTTGGGATAGGAGATAGGACTTCTGGATGACAATGAAGGCAAATTTGTAATTATTTCAATGAGACTGCTAAATTTGGCAATTTGGGAAATGAGGGCTATTAATTTAATGCTAATGACTTTCACTTATTGTAATTCGGAATCAGGTTGACAACAGGACCAATTCCAAGGCCACACTGCCTCAGTGGTAGTGTTCTTTTATTCTGGTCCTGGGGAAGAGAAAAGGTCAGATCTGAGAGGGGTTGCGATCTAGGTGACCTATGTGACCATTAAATATATTTTCAACTGCTATTCAGCCTTACTTGCCTTACTTCTGGTGTTTGTAGGAACATGTTTCCGGACCTGATGTTTCTCTGAATAACATCTTAATGGCCAAATAAATTCTCAAGGCTTTCCAGAGAAAGCCTTGAAATCCCAAGGGTGTTTGTCAACATCCATGGGCTGTATAATGTGTAAACAAATGAGTTGTGTTTATGGAGAAAGCCTGATGCTAGGAAAACTGCTGGCTTGTGTGTTGGCTTATCATTTTTATATCAGATTCTAAGTGCTTATCATTATACAGCTATCTTAAACAAAAACAGAGTGAGTATTTGCTATGTAGTGAGTTTAAACTATGCTATTTCTGATACAGGTTTGGGCCAATGTTGAGGCCAATTCAGTTTTTTTCCCTTCTCTATCTATCCATCTATCTGTATGTCTATCTATCTATCTATCTATCCATCTCTCATTGTATAAGTCTTAATACAAAAACACATCAGACACAATTCAGAACTCAGTTGATAATACAGGGATATTATTGAAGCTCATTTTTGGATGTGACACACTCAGAAGTTTTGCTTATATATCACCATATCTGCATGAAATGTGAGATCAAAGATCCTCTCTGGTATTTTCAAGCCTAGTTTTCCGTTAGGATTTTTGGTTTCTTTCTTTTTTTAAATTTTTATTTTATTGTAAATATGCTGTATATGAGTAAGGTAATGTGTACAATTTTTTTGAAGATTGTTACCCCATCCTTTGTCTTTTTCCCTATTATTACTTCCCTCTCTCAACTCCACTACTACTCCCTCCCTCTGTCTTTCTTTTTAAACAGGGCCAACAGCCTTTTGCTATTTGTGAGGGACTAGAAAATGGAATGGATTGTATCCTATAAATTAAAAATTTGTCCATCAAGTAAGGCTAGCTGCTTTTATCCTTGGCCTTGTTCCTCCATTGTTTACTTGCCATTTTGCCTTGTCAGCCTTTTAAGGCTCTATCCTGAAACAAAATCTGATGTTGTCTTTGAAACACTTGACCAAAAAATATCACAGTTACTGTACTTTGGGTACTAGTTTCTAAGACTCTGAGAAGCTAAGAAAATTAAGTGTATTTGGAAATTTCTGTTGTAGTTTGCATGAGAAAGGGAAGTGCTCATTCTATTGTGGAGCTCCCTAGGGAAACTGACTTTCTTGTTGTGTTCCTGAATATTGTAGGTGACTGTTTTTCCAGAAGCACTGTGAGATTATGAATGATGGCTTTTGCTTTATGAGTTCATAAGTTTTGTTCATTTTTGGTGAGGTAACTTTTGGTTTTGTCTGCTTAAAATAGTCATCTGTATTGTTAAGCTTGTACTTAGTTGGTTGGAGTTTGATTTTAAGAAAATTTTTTTTGGATTAGAATCACCTCAGTTTTCTCAGCAGAGACAATCAAAGCAAGAAGAG